AAAAATATTTTTTTTTTTTTTTTTTTTTTTTTTTTTTCAATCGAATCTACAGACGTTACGCGACATCGTGTTTCCGTCGTATGAATTTACACCGACCGTTGAGCAAGACTCGAAGGACGCCATCTTAAATGCTAATCCTTTGACGTTAATTGAAAAAGGACAATTTCGTGATATCCCATGGATCGTTGGATTGACCAAGGACGAAGGACTCCAAATCAGTCTGGGTAAGGTGACGATATTTAAATATTAATTGACAAGCTGATATCTCTTTGTTTTCATAGGTATTTCATTGAACGACGATAAGAACAGCGAATCGCTTGAAGGCTGGATTTATTATTTGGAGTCCCTTAAGAACCTTATGTGGAGTTTGGAAGATAATATATCCGTTGGCGAAGTAGTCGATGATTTTTATTTTATCGAAAACGCCACGACGACTTATCGAAGCAATATGTCCGAGGTGATGCTGTAGGGTACATCTACTGGTATAATAGACAAATTAATTGGCAAAGGTTATTGAATTGAAGTTTTATTCTTTTTCCCAGATCGGGGATGCCTTTTACAATTGGCCAGTTTATCGAGCAGTGAAGCTTCAATCGAAACTCATGAATTCCAGCGTCTACTTTTACGTTCTAGGCTACGAGGGGACTTTCAGTGGAACCTATGCAATCGACGCTACAAAACGTTACGGTAAATCATATGTAATATAATTAATTGGTAATTATATATATATGACTGATCACACAGGTGTCTCTCACGGGGATGATATCAACTACCTGTTTCCATACCTGAACAAGGTATTCGATGATTTATCACTGCACAATACAGGCGATGATATTACGATGATGCACGTCATGACGGAGATGTGGACCAGCTTTGTGAAAACTGGGTAAATAATGTTTGTTAATTAATTTTTTATTTTAAAATTAAAAAAAAAATTTTTAATCCTGTTCAAGGGTACCGCAAGCATTTCGGACGGCCAGTTGGAAACCGTTTCAAATCAAGGAGAGCTACGCGCAGTTGGGTTGGGGGAACTCGACGGATGTGGAAATGAAGTCGAATTTCCTTCCTGACAGAATGGCATTCTGGGAAGACCTGATGGATCATTTATCTTTGCCGATATATATGGTAGAAGAGGAAGTGAACGATGATAATGCGGGTGCAGCGGTAATGATGAGAACAATGGTCATGTATTACTTAAGTTTTTTCACCCTCTGGTTTGTACTTTGAGTATTAACCCTTGATTGACAATTCTCGAGTATAGTATATGCCTGGGTTTTGAGCACGTGTAAAATAGTGAATTGAGAAAATCGATAAGAACTATAACGCGGTGAATTTTGTCTTTTAATGTCAATTCGTTTATTAAATCTTCAATGTCACTGATAACAATAATTATTACGTTATTAAACTTTTTCTCATCGTCCCTTTCATTTTACGCGATTCGACTCCGCTCAAACTTCGTTTCATCGATTTATCATATATTCCTGTTCAATTCGAATTGGCGATTTTTATAAAAACAGCCGTAACAGTGATACCAATAAAATATATAAGAATATTAATTATTATAATGTTAACAAGAGCCAACGAGCGATACGTAAGAAATTGTACGTGAAGATAAAGAAAAATTAAAACTGTCCACGTGTTTCGTGTGCTCCAGTTTCTGTCACCCCATCGTAAGTGGAACGTGGATACTGATGGAGGAGAATCAAGTTCACGTGTTGTACTAATAGCTGGTTTTCGAATAGAAAAATCAAGCCGAGAGTTCGTCGTTGATCCAGGCACAATTGGATCCCTCAGTATCTGGCCGAGTACTCGGTCGGTTACTTTCGAGGAAAACTAACTTACCGACCGCACTTGGCATTGTCGATAAAGCAGCGCGAAGCTGTTTCAAATAACTTTTCTCTCCCTGCGCAATAATTTCAAATGCATCCACGCTAGTTGCGCCTTTTTGCGCACAGTTGCGCCTTGCCGAGATCACTTTACCCATTGGATCGTGAAGTCGTATAACGACCAAAAACCTAATAACAAATGAGATCGTGTTTCTTATTACATTTAGCATTATATAATTTTCGCCCCTTGTAACCGTCATCAACCCCAACAGCGATTACGCTATAAAATTTTGTATTCTTTGATATTAATATAAAAGTCAGCACGGTTACGCGCATACGTGCTGTCGTTAAAAATAAAAAATCTTATTTCATATAGTCAAGTCCGCGTCTACCCCTAGGGGAAAAGTGCCTAACAAACCTAGGGAATTATAAGAGCCCGGACCGAAATGAAGTTTCCCACATAACAAACACAGCGCGAGCTATAACGTGTATATAAAATATGCAACCCCTACCAAGTAGCTTCTGGAAATTAATCATCAACCCTAACGCGAGTCACCCCCATGGCGTGGAAGCCGCGCACAGCTAAAGCTCGAACCACGGAGCCAGCACTGTTTGTCTTCTCATTCTCCGTTCACTTTTTCGACCGTTAACGATCGCGGGAGTCGCGGTATCGTCGTCGGGGACCGTATCGAATTTTCCTATCCCTTATGAAGTGCCTGTCGGAATATGCACAACCCACCCCCATAACGAAAAAAAAAAAAAAAAAAAAAAAAAAAAAAAAAAAAAAAAAAAAAAAATAATTATTCGAGAATATACGTAAATATATGGAATATTGAATTTTTTTTTTTCCACTTTCCATACCACACTCAATTTGAGGATGGTGCACGATATAAGGAATGTAAAAGGCTGTTTGAATTTTACTTGGATATCTCGATGCATCCCTTATACGATGCCCAGATATATCCACCAACCCCTTGACAAGACTCAGAAGACTTCCGATTACACTGACAATGCGTATGATCGTGGTTTCCCTAGTGTACAGTCCCGTCGACTCTTGAATCATCCCTTATTTACTACTATATTTGAAAGGGTGAGTATATACACGTATGTACCAGATATATTATACGGAGAGTAGATATGTTCCATGTGATTCTCGGGCATCGGTAACGTAAAAAAAAAAATGGCTTCCAAAGAGGAATCCATTCAGATGACGGATATGACGGCTGTCATTGGGGGGGTAGGTATTGGCCCGGGTGCCATTGTAAGAAATCGAGACGACGCGAATCGCTTGGTGCTTGAGAACTCGTCGCAAGGAGGTCTTTCATATCTTATGGGGAGTGACGAGAGGGTAAAGAAGGGGCGAGCGGGTGGGGTATGTCACCCTGGTTATTCGTGAATAACGCATAGGGAAATAGAACGAGGAAGTCAAAAGGTCGTGAGAAAGTCTACCAGAAGGCGCGGGAAATTTGAATTATCACAATAGCTCCAATACACGCGCAATGGATTATATATCGACTAAGTGAAAATGACGTATAAGTTATTTAAATACTCTATAGAATACTTTCTATCGGCTCCTAACACCCCTCTACATATTTGTACAGTCCCGTATAAATATTATTATCATCCGTAGTACCCGATCCGTCCGCTAGTCGGCCCGATCCACGCAAGAAAGTAGAATGACACGTTCCATGTGAAAAAAAAAAATATGAAAGGAAAAAAAAAACAGATCAAGAATCGTCACAAGGTACAAGATACCAAAGGTGTTACGACGAAATAGTATATATTTTTTTAATTAAACATCCACGTCGTCCAGTTCTAAGGGATGAAAAATAGATAATGGAAAAGTTAGGGAAAGGAAACACTACAGTTTCCCATACCTCCATGGAAGCAAAACGACCCTCTAAAGAGCGTAATGTCAATAAAAAAAAAAAAAAGAGAGAAAACATAAAAAGGCTGTTTGTCCGGTTTCCCGGAGTGGCTACCAGCAATGGGTACTGGGGCTGTGCCGAAGCTCCACCGGCAAACTACCCCACTGTGTCGCGCAATGTCCTACAGTGCTCTGCAGCCGTGCCACAGGGGCGTAGAAATACAGGACCTACAGGGGGGGCCCCCAGGGTACATTGACGTAACCCACGAATGCGCAACGGCCGATTGATTGAGGATTTGCATAGACAAATAAGTTGGCTCTGATGAGGCGCGGCTACGTGTTTGCGAAGCAGTCGAATAATTGTTTTCAGCCGAGTGTCCTTCTCACCCCCTATTTTCTACCCTTGCCGCACGTGCCCCACCTACTTTCTCAACCCCTTTCGCCCTCGAGACCTCAAACATTTTTACAGTCATTGCCAATCGATCCAAAATCGCTTCAGCCTGTCTGACTATACACACGACCTTTTCTACTGTCTGATCCAGCCACTCTCGATCCAGAACGTAATTGTGGTACAGGCACGAGATCTAGAAATCGCACTGTTAACAAGGCAGATAAAAAGAAAAGTGTATATAAAAAAATTATCGCACGTCGGCGTCAGGCCTCGTCAGTGCCGGGAACGGCTCCTAGGGCTTTTCGCGAAATGCAAATTGGGCATCGATTACGCGTCGTCGGAACGGGCGTCCCCGCTCGCGCGTCCTGCGTCGTCGTGACGCGTTGCATGATAGCAGAGCCCAGGCCCAGCACAATTGCGCTAATGCGACGTATTGTTCGCCGTTGCAAAAATTGCCCCTCGTTATGCGTTACAATGGAAGTCACCCGATATAAACGGCACGTCATTTGCTTGGTATAATATAGCGTGGGAGCCGTATGACCGAGCGTCGGTCTAGCGTCGCGACGCCCCACGAAATTCTTGAGAAAAACAATTACAGCGAAAAGACCGAGTGCGCGTTTTTAGGTCAAACTTTGTCATCGATCGGTGAAAAATATTAAGAGATAACTGAATGAGACTTTCTTATATGAATCTTCATATTCGTACACATCCAGGATGGGCAACGCAATGCGTTCGGATAATTTCATATTCTATTACACGCTTTCTACAAATGGTCCATTTCGAGCGATGCAATCTTAGAACCGGTGAATTTACCAGATGAAATTTCGCTCGGATGGTCAAAGAGATAGAGATTCGAGATGCTGGTTACATTATGTAATAATCCATTGCATCCGGGTTATAAGGTGACTACATAGGCGCCCAGGCGCTCGGCTCTATGTTAAAATGAATATTTGAAAATCCGATGAGCCACCCCTGGCGCTAGGGTGGAAAATTCGAGCAGCGTATAATCTCGAGGTCGCCGTGCTGATTCCGTCTGAAGGTCCTTAAGGGTTTTCAGAGGGGCGGAAAGAATTTTTTCAAAATGCATACAGCGGGTTACAGGGATACCGTGAGGAGGATATTCAGGATGTATGTACACGTGTAAGCGGATAGGAAGAAAAAAGGATTGGCGATGAGCTCGAGGTCTTTACAGATGGCGAAAGCAAAAGCTCATTAAGATTCGCAGTAATCGTTAGAATGGATGAGACCGTCTCTTTTTCTCCCCTTCTACCATCATCTTGCCCTCCCCATTCCGCCGTCCCCTCGCCCTCTCTGTATTTTCCTTAGATTCTACAGTCCTTTTAGATCCAAACATCTTTCCATAAATTCAAACTAAAGTCGATTCGATTCCACGTTCCTGGACTCCGTGTCACGGCCACGATCCGTTGAAACGCGTTTCCAAATAGTCTGAAGCCGAAAGAGAGACACGAGGCAAAACCAGAGAAACGCTCTTCGCAACGGGACCTGTTGTTCGGGTCGCCATTATTTATACCTCTTTTTTATTTTTCGTCGACGCTCAAAATTTACATGTCATGAATCGAGCCCGCGGTCCACAACCAGGGAAACAATGAAAGCCTATGGCGATCCCATAACCAGAAACCCTCTTTCCCTCTCTCTCCCACTCATCATGACTCTACACCGTCTATCCCATGTTCCCTCGCCGTAGTACACTTCGGCTGTCCCCTTTCCTCTCGCGAACGCCGGTACCCGATGCACGTGTGCATTTACTGCATGGCTGCGTTCAACGGGGATTCAACGTTAATTGTCATTTTTTCCCTTTTATTATATTTTATTCCGCCCAATGAACTATACAGGTTGGTAAATGCGGTAAAGGGGAATGATCGAAATGTTGAAGAAAAAAGAATCTACAGAAAAATTAATATTTTCATTCGCTATCGTCTAAGCTCGCTCTATCGTCTAGCATGACGTAACGTCACAATCAATTGATTGCCCGATAGTCATTTATCTTTATTCGAAGGAACCCATGGTTTCGAAATTACCCAAAAGCAAAGACACATATTGCCCTATGCTACAGGTTATCCTTGGGTTATTCTAAGCTATCCTATAGCCGGTGAACTTTATGAAACTCTCATGGACTAACAACCAGTCCCACGACAGCGTACGAGGTGGGGCCATCGGTCCATTAATCAATTACCTGACACAGGGTTCGATTAAAACATTGACCAGGAGGTCAGATCAAGAAAAAAATGCATATACCCAGTAAACTAACCTAGGGACGAGAAGACAACCGGATCCGTCGTGAGACTCAAAATAACCAACTGGCTATCTTCTGCCGAAGCATCGTGTTATAGTGAACCGTAAAAACCGTAAAACAATAATAATAATAATAAGTATCCCGTTTCCTGTACCGGTAATCCTTATCACCGTTACTTCTAGCTGGGTGTATTGTTCGTCTCCCCAGCAATAGCAGGAATAACAGCAGCCACGAGAATTTCATCGCGGATGCCTCGAGGTCGACCTCATCCCCGGTATTTCTATCTGCGCTTGA